CCAGGTCTGGAAAGCCCGATTTCACTGCTCAGGGGCTGAGTCCTCCCTGTGGAAGTGCCCCGTGACTGCCCTGGGCGCTCCTGACTGCAGCCCTGGACACACGGCCTCTGTGACCTGCTCAGGTGAGAGGGGGCTGACTGCACTCGGGGGGCTCGGGTCTCTCAGAGCAGCGTGTGGGAAAACTGGCCTCATGACAATGAGCTATATCTTGATTAACTGGTGGATTAAGTAGACATAAATATTTGTCAAAATATATCTGTATGTTCTCTTAATGTTTGTGTGTTATTGGATGAGAAGTACATGTAAATAGAATTTATTTGTTTAGTTTTCTAGCAATACTGTGGTCAAAATGTTTGATTTTGTGCCTTTGTAAATTTTTTCCTTTAAAAAATATTTGAAACTTACTTTTGCCATCATAAGCAGTCTTGGTAAATGGCTTATGTACTCTTGGGAATGACATGTATCCTGCGTTGTGAGGTGGGTATTTTGCAAATCATACCATGCAGCTATTTGAGATACTGACTACTTGTCTTGTTGACCACCCAGTCAGTTACTGAGGCAGATGTTTTCCTTTTGTTGTCTGGACACACATTGCTTCAAAATGTAACCATGGAAAGCAGCCACTTTACCTTTTTTCTGACTGCCAGTCAAATTTCTTCATGTCATTTCAGTCTTCACCAACAGCATCCCCCAAACCCATTATCTTTCTGATAATCTCCCTGAGTCCCAATTGACCTGTGCCTGTTGCCTTATCATGAAAGGAAGTAGTCCAGGCTCCTGTGAATAAAGATGTTCTCAACATTCATGTTCAAGACAAGAATTTGCAATTCTTTTTAAAGAAACTTAAATGAAGATAAATGTTTGTCTTTATTCACGTAACTGTCTTGGTTACTGTTATCGAATGGCACATTTCTCATCCCAATCAAAACAGAAAGAAAAATATATTTTAGTTTGCTGTGGTTTCCTAGGTCAGGAATTCAGGGAAGCCCAATTAGGCAGTTCTCTCTGCCATTTTCACCTCACTGTCATGAGAGGCTGAAGTCACACAAGAGCTGCCCGAGCTGGGGGCCCAGAATGCTCACTGAGAGGACGGCAGGTCCCTGCCTGTGGCCTCTCCCCAGGACAGCTCCCCTACAACAGAGTCCTCAGTGGGGCTGGGAGGCTGTGGGTTTTTCCTGTGTTGCCTCCGCTGCATCATGCTGCCTACAAGCGAGTCATGAAGTTCGGTCAAGAATGATGCAAGAGAAGGAAGTGGGGACCTCACGCCTCAGGAAACACAGTATCAAAGATTTTAGGGAGATGTTTAGGAACTCCCATGGTGTACAATATATCCCTCTGTGACTGTGGATTTTTAACTTTCTACCTTTAGTTCTTCATTTGTGTCTTTATAGATCACATCATACATATTCTGCTTTAATCTTTTTATTTTATCTCTGGTGCCCCCCGCTCTTTATGCCTTCTCTTCCTTGTCTTATGCTGTTTTCCTTTTTACTATTCTTATTACAGGGCAGGGAGAGGGGCACCACTGAACCCCCAAACCTGCCTGCTCTAAATAGGTTTTGCC